ATGGATCCCTTTTACCTAAATCTTACACACTGAACCTTTAAGATGTGCTGATATGCAAGATATAATCATATGAGTATTATTTACACAATATAAATCACTTTTCATCATCAGAATATAACATTCATTAAACAAACAACAAATAACAAGAGTGGATGTTGTGCAACAGGTGCGGGACCTCGAGCAGCAGCTGAAGCGGTCGACTCAGCAGCAACATCCAAGTGTCCAGACAGAGGAAAAGTCTCTGGGCACGGGGCTCCCTCTGGAAACCGCTCCTCACCAGAAGAACCTCAACTACATCCGCAAAATCAAGAATGAGAAGCAGAGGGAGTTTGAGGTGTGTATACATGTCGTAAATGGCATTGAATGAGTTGAAATATGATCTTGTTAAGGCCCTGCTCTCTTGTACAGAGGATCTTGGTGGAAAATAAGAACCTCCAGAAAGAAAACACGGATGTGAAGCAAAAGCTGGAAGCCTCAAGAGTCAGAAACAAAATTCTGTCTACTGAAACGCAAACTCTGAAGGACCAAGTTTTCACTCTGCTGGATAAAGGCAAACATGATAATGAGCTGGTGGATTCTTTGCTGGTAAGGAATTAGATAAAAGAAAATATCTACAGCAACATTTAAACCGATAAATGTATGTATAGTTGTGTACAGACGAAATGTAGTACTTTTTCACAATAGCTGTTTTAGAGCATTTTCAATTAGCGTACAATCACTGTACAATATGGGGTTTATTCTGAAGGTCTTGACAGGTTTTCATTTGCCCAACTGATCATGGACAAGACAAGCATTCAAATTGCTGAAGCAGGAGTTAGAAGGTTTCTATGTAAAAACAGAAATACTATACTTCATGAATTAGGGTTAATGGTTTATTTAATTCACAATTTCAGTTTCTGTTCCACATTTCAAAATGGCAATAAATATTGAGGGGATTTCACGTAACATTTATACGTAAGTTTAAAATGAGCACCGTAAATCAGAGGAAGTGTCTTCTCTGATGCTTAACCACATTGTTCTCTACAATAACTGCTTGTGGTCTCTTCTCCCTCTGGCAGAAGAGGCAGGACCAGATGCAAGAGGTGCTCCGCAAACAGATCCAGCAGATCCAGCAGAGCCAGCAGAACAGTGAACTTGCATTGCAGAACAGTATCTTGAAGAGTCATATAGCTGCTGTTGATAATACATCAGTCAAAAAATCACAAGGGAAAATCCGGCTGCCGCCCGTCAAGGTGAAGATAAAAGCAAATTGTAGTTTTTGTAAAGTTCAACTAATGCTTGGTAATTCACTCAAATCCAGTGTTTTTATGCTTTTTGAGAGATTCACAAATTCACTTGGAAATCTGTCAAGGTGTTAAATTTGTGTTTACAACTGTTACAGGAAGAGAGCGAGGAAGCTGAAATCCAGCCTCAAGACAATTTGTCCTTCAGGCTTTTCCCAGAAGAGGGAGACATTCACAAGAGAATAACATCTTCATGGCAGGTTTGCTAATGGTAATCATGCTAATTGAGAATTAGAGGATGAAAACTGAAACCTTGACTCTGGATTTTACCTTTATACAGATTTCTTCTGTTCTTTTTTCCAGTTCACTTTCAAAATTGGACCAGGAACGAGTGCAGCCTGCTGTGAAAAGTAGAATTCCAGTAAATGCAAAGCAATTTTAACACCTTTCCAGATACTTTTTTAACTAACTACTTACTGACTGTAGTGAATTTATTAAGAGCCTAAATAAAGTGTTGCTGTTGTGTCCTTCTGTCCTCAGGGGTCCAGTTTCTTAAAAATGTCCACACTGTTCAGCCGGTGTAAGCACTCTCATGACCCAGTGTAGTCGATATAAAATCCTCTGTGTGGAGAAGGACAGGCTCTCTCTCTCTCTCTAAAAAATATATATATATTTTAACTTTGTTTAATTCATCGACCAAACAAAACTATTTAAATGCAAACAAAAAATCTCAAATCTTGAATGAAATGGAGCAGAAAGAAGAATAATCATATATAATCTAACCCTCTTTCACAAGACATTAATTATCAAGGCAAACAATTCAATGAAATTAAAAAATGTAAAGAAACAGATATTTTTGTTTTCTTTGTTTTCTGTCTCTGAAATTATTTTTGTGCTGGACATAACTTTTTGGGGGGTTTCTATTAGCAGTGGCTACATGCTTCAAACACTGCACTATTTGATCCAGGACCCTGTGGGAGATTGGCAGGTCCTTTGACTGAGCAAAAAAGTGCCACAAGAGAAAAATATCAGCACTTGTGATGTGACAAAGAAAGTCTTCATGCTCAGAGTAACATAAAGCAGTTTGTGTTGAATACATCGTGGAAGAGGCGATCAATGCAGCGGTAATGAGAGCAATCATCATCAGGCAGTGCAGCAGTCAGAGCCTCTCAGCCTGTGCTCAGTCTCATAAAGAAACACAAAGGTCAGCCATCTTTAGCTCTGGGTCAGATTGTGTATGTATATATATATATATATATATATATATATAACACCTCATGTGCAGACTCGAATATGCTTCATGAAAGAATCTTCTTTTCAAAATGTTCTGTATTTAGTTTAGATAGAGCTAAAGATTTACATTTATTTCACAACCCAGCATTACAATAAATTGTGGATGAAAATACGGATTTCATTCATATATGAGTATATCTTTTTTGGAGAAATGCCTGTTTTCTTACTCGACATAGATGTAGAAATCATATCACTCTTGTGTCTGTTTAGAAAATATGAAGAATCGTACTAAAACCGAGGTTTAGAAATTACAAGCGAATTGTTTTTAGCTGCTTTCTGTATTCTTCCATGATCCACACTGATGTTCCCTGAGTTTTCCCAGCAGTGATACAGCATCTGTAAAGATTTGATTTGATACGATCAGACCCGAGTCACACAAGGTGATCATGTAAACCAGTATGACTCATAGAAGTGACATATCATGCGCCGCAATATTTTTTATTCAATGCCTCTGCTTACATTTTTTTTACTTGATACAAAATAATATGGATTCAAAATAAATGTTTTTTTTAACACGTCAGAGTAACATTACATTTTCTTAAGCTAAAAGCTTTTCGTGGATTGTCACCCATTAGGCTCTGTGATGACGCACATCTGTTGTTCAAGTGACCAGTTACTACACACACACACACACACACACACACACAGACACTAAGTGAATGGCACTAATAAAGCTGGTGTCACTCACACAAATCAAGTTTAAAATGGTCTTTTTTGTTTAATTAACTAAATGAGGGAAGCTGACATTTAACAAATGGAGGGTTTTATTTTAAGACTCTTTCAGAAATCTCTCAAAAACCTGAAAATGTAATTTACACACACTCCCTTAAACATGATTTCAGACAATTTAACATACATTTGCAAAAAGACTATTTAAATTAGATTTCAGCATCATTCTGAACTCCCAAGCTGATATTTCACTCATGAACGAATGAGTAATTGTATAGTAAACCCTGAGGTGTGAGAGGATATTACCAATATACATAATTAGCACTGGAGAGAAATATTTAAAAAATGAATCAATATGTTGCTATTATTTGTGCTTCGTGTTTGCCATGTTTTTCTGCTCCCACAGCGTTTTTAGGTTCATTACTCTGTTGCCTGAGATCAATAAAGATTTGCTTACTAATCTGTTTAATGTTGACTCATCATTAAGTGGTTAATAGGTCTTGTTCTTGTACGTGCATCGTGGACCAGTGGTCAAAAGGGACTGGTGGATCTGAGTCCATTTGCTGGGATTTATCTGTTTAATAACAGTGAGAGTTGTGTTGGACGACCCAGAGGGCCACATAATAACACACTCTGTCATCACTAATGCCCTGATCCTCCTAAATGGACCTGGTTAAGTCTCATATTAGGGCCTCGTTCTTCCTCCATCCTGTTCCCCTTTGTACAGTAGCATCCTTCTTCAGCTCTCCTGGGGGTTTCCAGCCTGAGAGCATGGGGTGTATATAAGCTCCAGCAAGGATGTTACCACGACTGAAGTTAGCCAGGACCACGCACACAGAGGACAACTCTCCCCGACCAGGACGAGTCCTTCCTCTGTTCTTCAGGAGCTGCTGAAGTCATCGGGTGTGAATCTTCTGCCTTCTTCATTAGCATTCATCTGACCTCCTGTCCAGACTACGACCATGGACGCAGCTGCAGTGGTGACTCTTCTGGCTGTGCTCGTGACGATGGCTGGCGTCAGTCAGGCTCTTCTCATCCGGGGTGGTGTGGACCAAAATGACATCCTGCCAGGCAGCTCAGAGGAAAACATGGCCGACCTCCTGCTGGGGCTGGTGAGACAACACATCACTCACAAACTTTGAGTTTTAGACCTCAGCTCAGCGATTTACCTGTGGCAAGAAAACATGCTATAACAATAACATCTATGTGGATTTTCTACCATATGATTCAATTTGCCAAAATAATTTTGGCATCTTAAAAAATAAAAACCTAATTTTTAAACACACTAGAGTGGATGGAAATTCTGAGCATAGCTAGTAGTCATTCCAACATTTTAGAGAAGTTGTAAATTAATTTGAGCTCTTTGATCAAGCGAGAGAAGCGAGTGTTCCTCCTCATGCTGCTTTGTGAAAAACACTCTAACATATTCTGAAGTGAAGAGACAGTCAGAGAGATAGAGAGCTTGATAAAAGCACAGGAATCACATCTTGAGTTTAAAAAAAAACCAGGTTTTTCCTTTCTGCGAGATCTGGGTTTTTTTTGCTTGTAGATAAAGGTGGATGGATATTTGGATGAGTCTAGACAGATAAAGATATTTACATCTCAAGGTCCCCTTTCACAGCAGGACACGCTGACTGGAGTTGCAACCCCCAGGGTTTGTGTTGCATCCCAAGTAGGAGCCCAGGTAGAGCTTTTAAAGTTTATCCAAAAGCAGAAAGAAGCTTTTTGATACTAGGCTTTGTATTTCTGTGTGTGTGTGTGTGTGCGTGCCATACAGAAGAGTGAAAACACAGATAACAGCATTGATGATCGCCTACTGACCTCAGTGCTCAGAGCTCTGCTGCTCGGATCTCAGAGAGAAACCAGGAACTCAGTCCTGCATCAGCCACAGAGGTCAGTGACGCGGGACAGAGTCTGTATTGATCACACACATAAACAGATACACAGTGAAAAAACATGCACACAGAGAATTAAGATAAGTTATTTATTATTCCGCTATGGGGAAAGTTACCGTGTTTCAGCAGCAAAAAGGGAATAGTGAAATATACACTCAGTGAAGGTTTACATACAATATAAACACACTGTACAATATAGAAACATATACAATGTAAACAGAAAATAAACAGAATTGCACACATGGAATTGCATGGATATTAAGCTAAATATTTGGATTTACAATTAAAAAAATACATAGTAATACACAACCCCTCTGAAACTCTTTCAATGAGACATGATTTCTGAATGTAGATACGGCTGCAATTATTATTACTTAAATTATGGAATAATTCTCTCAATCACTTGATTAATTACTTAGAAATCCCTATTTCAATTTCCTAGAGCTCAAGGTTTCCACCCAACAGTCTACAAATCAGAAATTTACCACAATATAAATGAAGAAAAAGCTACAAACATTCATTTTTTAAAAGCTGCAATGAGATTTTTTAGTAATTTGGTATTTATATGAATAATCCATTATCAAAATAGTTATAGATCATATTTCTCTTACCCAGCTTGTCAAAATCATTTCAGCTGCACATGTAGATAAGTTGAAAAATCCATTTAATGGCAAGATGTATGAATTTTTAAATCTCCACCACAAACCTGTTTTAAACATGATGTGCCTAAGTTGTCCATTAGTGAAAGTGGCTGAGGAGCCATTAGCCTGTTACAGCAAAGATCAGATGAGGTTTTTGACCTGAAATGTGGATCTCAACCTCCAGGGTTTCAACGATTTACTGAAACTGATGCCAGTAATTTTGCGTCACTTTTAAACTATGTCTGATGTTACAGCCATTCCTGCTCTGCCCAGTTAAATGCAGCGATGATTCGACAACATAACATGTGTTAGTCAAATTGTACCTCCATCCCCCCTACCCTCCTTGTGAAATTCAAATACCTGCTTATGTTAATCTCCCTTGCAGGTTCGGCCGTGATTCCAGAGGGCAGGTGGTGACGGAGGACCAAATACACACTCGTAACTGGGACGCAGCCCCCAATCAGATCTGGAGTATGGCCGTCCCCCAGAGATTTGGCAAGAAGTAATCTGGCTGTCAGATCTGCACATCACCGTCCTGGTACGAGGCCGAGCAACGGGCAAATGTGGATTGACGAAATTTGAATGAATTAATCTGACTTCAATTAAAAACTCTCCAGAGTTTCCAACATGGTCCTCATTAGGCCTGACTTCACACCCGACGTCCACTCTCATTGACGGGAGATTCATTCACACAGTTTTCTTTTGATTTCCGACACCTCGAAGCATGTTAACTAGTGCCTATTAAAGTTTTCTGAGCAGATCTTACTGGTCCTGACCTGAATGTTAGTAAGAACCCAGAATTTTGCTGTAAATTGATCGCCATCTCGTTGTTATTCTTTTGTTCTCTGGTCAAATAAAACAGCTTTGAATTTGGAAAAGCCAAATTTACACGTGTGTGTTCATTGTGAATATTGCACAAAGGATCATACTCAAACATTTCAAAGTCTAAATGCTAAAATGTCATGGAATGGCTTCTTTGTTTGATGTGCACACCACAATATGAATTTGAAATTACATCAGCTGGTTAACAATTATGTTCATGGTCAGATTAACACATCATAACAGTCCATATATGCCAGAAAAGTGGCTAATTGACAGTATGTGTGTGTGTGTATGTGGGGGGGGTTACAGGCCACCTGGGTAGGCAGCATGCAATCATCTTCAGCACTAATTAAAAGACAGAAACATGCAATTACTCCATGCTCTCAGGAAGGACAGCACATCATTCCCTCTGAGGAAGAGTCCTTCTGTGGGGACAGAACACAACCTGAAGAATGATGTGCTGATTGGAGACTATTGACATTTTCATTGCTTTAGTAACTACTGTACATCCGTGTGGTCTATTTTGACCACGTTTATTCAAGGTGCATTGTTACAGCATGTGAGTCACAGGTAAATTTAGTTTTGCTTTCACACTGTCAATTTAAACTTTTTATTAACAGATGGCAACCGGTGTCAAGGTGCATTATTGCCATGAAACACTATCTCCGTCTCTTTAAACCCCAATTCCCGATAAAGCCCAACCTGCTCTGATTGGCCAGCATGAGTAGGCGTGTATTATGTAAATTATGATGGCATTGTGATGTCATCATGGTACCCCAAAAGTATTGGCCAGACTACTGACACAGGAGCTACTGCAGCAGCGTTTTCTGTTGGGTGCTTTTTAACTTTAAGGAACCTGTACAATATGTTAGAGGAAAGAAAATCTGAAAAAGCATCGTGTTTCTCCTTTAACTTTAACTGAGATGAATTTACAGATCTGATACTTATGTTTTCTGTCTCGTTGACCTCGGTCATCACCTTGAAAGGCAGTCATGTTTGAACCAGCAGAGAGGAAGGTCACAGCCAAAGACCATGATTCAGCACAATTTGTCACACAACAGAATTTAATGACTAAAGTGCAAATAGAAAATCCGAAGCAATGTCAAGGGTAAACTGCAGAGTACTTTCCTGCATTACTAAAAAGCACAAAGTGGTGATTTGCTCATCTCATAAAGTATGAGATTCATTTCTTAAGTTCAGTATGATCATCCTCTTTTCACGTTACTTTCCAGCTTTTAAAAAAATGTGTCCTACTAAGAGACGAGTGATTTTTATACCTGAGGTGCACACCACAACAACAGTCAATTAAGATTTTAATTAAGACTGGTCAGTGGTACAATGGTATGTGGTAGGATTATACAGTTAACAATTTTATAAAGACATAATTCGTGAAAAGCTCTCCAGACAGAAAAAAGCTTTCTATTCCTATTCTTTCATTCTCAGCTACAAGAAGAAGGAAATGGATTTTGTGTGTGGAGGATTTGTGCACAGCTCTAGCAGAGCGAAATAATAACTGAGTTAAAAAAAGGAAAAAGGATTCTGATGTTGTTTTCATTTATTTATATACATGAATATATAGGGAGGGACTTGTTAAGTCGCTTGTGAGGGAATAAAAATGGGCCTTTTTGAAAGCTCAGTATTTTTTAGGTCTATAAAATGAGGAGTTGTAAACAAAATAAAAACTGCTTCTCAATTTATTATAAAAAGGTACAAATTTAGGTAAGTGAATTCATGGTTAGGAATATTCGGTTCCTGCTGGGGACCTTTGTTGTTTTCTGATTCTCCTGTTTGTCCCAGTCTGATATGAAAAATGAAAACCTGCAAAATAAATAGTACAATAAAGGTACAGCCCTCCATGTGCTCACGTATGTAATGGGTCAAGGGGATTGACCTTTACACCAGGTCTTAGGAGGAGCAATTACAAATGTTAGTGTCTGACTGAATGGAAGTCGAGCTGCATTGTGGGTAATGTGAGTGCCATACAGGAGCATATAAGGGACTTTGGGAGCCCCAGGCCAAAGGGACCCGGAGGACCCTAAATGGAACCAAACCCCAGCATGTGCAGACCCTCGTTTTAGTTTAAATGGAACTATGTACGCAACTCTGATGAAAGGAAGAAAGTATGGTCAACCCTTTAGGGGGTTCTTACAAATTGTTACTGTGGACCAATGCCATTCAGCTGTCCTTGGGGTACCCCTCTCAGCTCGGGGCCCCAGGCCTACCCAGTTGCAAAGCCCCTGATGCCAGGTTTTGACAAAGAACAAGAGCATGTTCAATAAAAAAAAGATGGTGATGACGACAGTGCACCACAGTATTAGCAAAACTAATCCTGTCGTGATATCAATGTTTGTTTACCAATTAATAATCTTTCTCAGAATGATCCTGTATATAAAAAACATGGTCTTTCCTAAAATGAACTGCAGATATGGAACAAAACAGCCGTCCTGTGCTTGTCTGCTGGTGTCGGGTATCATGGCCCAGTAGTTGAGGGATGTGGGGACACTCAGGCTGAAGACAATCAATAAAGATTGAGCTGTCCCAGCGGCAGCGAGGACAACCTTGGTCAGATGTGAAGAAAGCTCAGATTAGCACTTCAAAGCTTTTTCTTAAATTTGGGTTGTAAAAAGCGTCATTATGTGGCCTCTGTATATAATACACTGAAGAGCTCTGGTTGAAATGGTTGTTACTCATCATTAAACATGGCGACACATTCAGTGGAACTACTTCTGCCTAAATATTCTCAGGTTTACAACCAAACAACGTGGATCATAATACAACTGAGGTGTGAGAGAGAGTCGTGTGTATGACTCATTCTGAGTGATAAAATAGTTTTTATTTATGCATGTGTAGGAAGCTGATATAAAAATACTTTCTCTTCGAGGAGAAGACAGATGATGCATCTCTCCAAATCAGACACACACACAGAGAGAGAGAGAGAGAGAGAGAGAAAGCGAGAGAGAGAGAGAGGGAGAGTATGTCTTTGTCATCCTGACTTGCCCATCTGTGCAGTCACTGCTGCAGAACAGCCCTGATCTCAGACATCCAATACCGACAGGAAGAAACACGAAGAGAGGGTGGGACTTGGTGTGAAAGGGAGTCAGCAGCAGCGAATGACAGCAAAGGAGAGGAGTTCCTTGCCCAGAATGCCCTTGCCTCAGTGCTGTGAGCCGGGAGAGGCAGAGAGGAAGGAGAGTGAAGCAGAGGCAGGTGCAGAGGGTAGAGAAGAGAGCTTAGATTGGAATAGAAACACAGTGCCAAAAAGCAAAGACAATCAGGGAAAAGTGTTTTAAAAGATCAAATTAAAGAGCAGGAAATAGTCACATTGAAACTTTTTTTTTTCCTAAGCTGGAGCCCACTCATTTTCCTGTTTCAGCCAACCATCACTGAGCTCTTTACTCTCCTCTTGTACGGATCCTCCTCTCCTCCTCTTTGCCTTGTCCTCCTCTCCAACAGACAGTGCCACCATGGAAACTGGGAGCCCCAGGAAGATACAGTTCACGGTCCCCCTCCTGGACACCCACCTCGACCCAGAGGCAGCTGAACAGGTGAGGAGAGGAGGTGGTGATGTGGGACTTTCAGGCTTTTAAGGGCTGCTTCATGAATCAATGACATAATTGAACATTTGTGGCATTATTGTGGAAAAGATTTAAGATTTTTTTTTTTTTTCCAGTCACCTACATGATATTTGGACAAAAAACTGAGAAAGATTTATGTCAGTCATTAAATTCAGCATGTGCAGTTACTCAGCAACTCAACTGGAATGAAAAAAAAAACCAGTGTGCTCAGTATAAATGAGAAATTGCTGCTCCACAGAAACCACATCAATGTCTTATTGCTCTCATGCACCTAATTAGCAGGCAGTGTGTTTTTAAATGCAGCCTGAAGTGAAAATGATGAATTTTAGATTGATTTTCCCTGTCGCTGAGTAGCTTGGTTGTTAGAAACACACGGCGGCTCAGCAGTGTCAAGAAGGAGTGTTGCAGTATACAGACACATCTCCAGGGGCTCAGGGTTGTTGTGGGTCTGAGTGGCTGCATGTACTGTACGGCAGAGAGATACTGACAGAACATGTGTGGTATCACAAGATAAACATATCAAATGTCCATCAGCACTGTGATAATTCCTTCACGTTTATCTCAAACACTACGTTGACCATGATCACTATAGCATAAGTTTAAAAAGATTAAAAGAAACAGAAAATGTTTTGGGGGATTCTATCAACTCATCGTCACTTTATGACTTAAGTGGGAAGAATTAGTGGCCAGGTGGGTGCAGTTCATGTGCCTGTGGAGAATACAGTGACAAGACGTGTCCCACTTTCTCATTTTCATAAATATAATATGACTGGGACAGGTCATTCATAATGAATGAGCCTCAAGTAAACTGACTACCCCCCCGTCTATGTCTGCCCCCCACTCTCTTTGGTTCCCTCTCTGCTGTTCACTCTTTGCCCCTCCGAGACTGAGGAGGTTAGGAGGCCTTGTCTGTGCATGTACAGTGTGTGTGTGTGTGTGTGTGTGTATGAGCTTGTCCCTGTCAGGACATTTTGTAGGATGGTTGGGGAGAGTGGACAGTGTTCCATTCACAATTCCATTCATCAGTCACATCTCATCTGTATACAAGGAGGAAATCACTCGTGCTTAAGTGAAATAACTTCCCCTTAGAAAGGAAACAAGCTTGAATGCACAAATCATTTTCACATTCTTTGTCATGGTTTACAGTCTTAAAATACAGAGGGGCAGCCTGGTGTAATAGCAATGACTTCCACGGTTAAAGGTACAATGTGTAGAATTTTGTGATATCTAGTGTTGAAGTTACATGTTGCAGCTGAACACCAAGCACCTCACCCTCTCCTCTCAACAGTGAAAAATAACCTGTGGTAGCTTCAGTTGTCATAAAAACTCAAAAGGTGTTTAGTTTGTAAAAAACATGGCGGCTCGATGTAAATATAAAGTATTTAAATATAAAGGGCCTTTTCTGGGGTAAAGAAAACTACAATTCATATAATTTAGATGAAATGAACTAGAGAAAACATCATGAGAATTATTCGTAAAATGTCAAAAAACGCCCCACATCTCACAATGTTAAAGAAAGTGAAAACAATTTATCATCTCCAAACTTAATTAGATTGTTTCTTGGCCCCTTTCCCATCTTTCCACCAAGTTTTGTGGAAATCCGTTTGGTATCTCTTACGGAGCCCTGCTGACAAATAAACCAACTAACCAACAAACAAACCAACAGATGGGAGTGAAAAGATAATCTCCTTGGCGGATCATATGTAACAAATATATTGATTCCTTCATACTGACTAACAACAACAAAGTCACTGTAACATGGAAACACAATTGAAGTGATTTTAATCAATAAATAAAATACAGAACTTAATGTCACAGGATTGATTCCCTTCAAAACAGACATCTCAGCAAAAGCACACATTTCATTAACAATGGCTCAGTTACATCAAGGTCCCAGTAGTATCCCATGCAGCATGAACAATAACAAATCCCAGCTAGCTTAAATATTAAATATTATATCTTAAATATAATGCATCCTTTGTAATTATTATTAATTACACCCAAAATGTCCTGTGTGAATAAAGGTCGATTGTATTTAGGAGCTGCACAGTTAGATGAATGGATGCTGTATGTAGCAAAGGGGTTTCAATTGATTGTAGTGTAATTTCAGTAAATGTCAGCCAGCGCTCCTCCGCCTGTAACATCAGCAGCTGCAGTCTGGAGGGAAGTAAACGCTGCACTGTGACTGGGAGAGAGGCTCTTTTTACTCCAGGTTAAATACGTCTGCCATCACTTTGAAGAGGTTTATACTCCGCAGAGAGAGAGAGACAACTTCAAAACAGAGCAGGTGCATCATGTCCTTACTGATAGAAAACCTTCATGTTCAAGTTGTGTTTTGAGTTTGACACAAATGTTTGTTCCATAAACTTCAAACAGCAGCATTTATATCACTTGTAATACTTTAGTTTTCGATAAAATAAAACCTAATTCTTAGATTTTGCATTTTTCCAACTAAAGCTAGGGTTGGTAATCCTGGAAAAGCTCACAACAGCAGACTACACTTTGAAAAAATACAACCAATACATCCCTCCCCCTCTCATCAAAACTACTTCTGGCATTAATCATCTCCGCTTCAGCGATGTATGTCATATGTGTGTTCAGTGAGAACACAGGCAGGATGTGCGGAGGAAGGCAGGTCTGTTAGACAGACAGGTACGCCAGCCAATCATTTCAGTCCAAATGGAATCATGTTTGTGACATCAGCTTTAAAAAAAAAAATTTCAGACTATTTTTTGATGGCTATCACAACACTGGGAGGATTTTAAGAAATAAGATAAAGATGTGTTTCAGAAATAGATTACCAACCCTACCTTTAAGTGCATCCATCTACAGTACATCTGCTGTTTCTACACAGATTTCAATCCATCATTATTGTCTTATGCATTTTTATCATCCTCACTGTTTGCATTATGCAGACCAAACATTGCCTTCTGCTGCTATTTGACAATTTCACAACATGGTCATTTTGAGCATTTCGTAAGAATGGATCAGTTTTAAATGTTGCAGCGTGAAATGAGGTTCATGGTTGCTCACGTTGAGATGAACAGCATTGGTTTGTTGTTAAAGCGACTTGCTGCTGTCGACACGGGTATCACCAAATCAATCAGGACTGAGATAATTAGGATCATAACGTTAATAAAACTAGCAACAGATGAGCATGAAGGTTGGATTGTCTTATTTGTTCGTGTACGGCTTGGAGATAATTAGAATTTATATTTGGAAAAATGAACATACTCCGTGGCTGTAGTTGTCTTGTCTTGCAGTTTGTCTGTGCATCTCTAGAGCAACTTATCTGGTTAAAGTTGTTCGTGTCTCTCTGTCTGTCTTGTTTGTGTCTGGGTGTTAGGGTGTCCACTGTCTCAGCCAAGGTTTTTGGTGATTCAGAATCTTGAACACCTCCAGCCTTGTGTTTACCTCCTCCTCTTCGCCAACAAACAGTTCATTCTTCTCTCTGTTCACAAAGAAAATTCAGTTTACTTCTACAAAAAAAAAAAATCTCAAGAGACTATTTGCTCTCAGCCTCAATGAGCCTGACCAAAGCTTGGCTGATTAGCACTGGGACATCACAATGTCCAGGTTATTCAGAGACCCCTGTGAGTGGCCACTCAGTCTGCACAGCAGGCAGGTTTTTAAGTGTGTGGGACAGCTGAGACAGACAGTCCTGCAAAGATACAATAATCAGCCAAAACATCAGTTACTGGTTTTAAAGCTTTAAAAAAGGGGGAATCTACAGATGCAATAATAACAACAGAAAGCAGATACGTGTGTAGGAACAGCTATAAATGTCGCACAGAGGGACTTCACCCATGTTTCAGTAATCATTGCAACCTGACTCCTCCCAACATGGTGAAGCAGCCTCCGTGGAGAACTGCATGTCTGTCAGGACGGCCTCTCTCGAGGTCAGACCCTCACGGCAACAACAGCACACACTCATCCTCTTATCCACACACAGATACAGAGTGTCCCCCGTTATCACAACCTCACATTAGAGCTCACTCTTTACCTACGAGCACAAACTGACTGTAACTGATAGAGGCTGAGACCTAATGGTGTCAAAGGATGTAGAGTAACTATGTTTTTAGCTTTTAACAATTGTTGATGTGTGTTTCTAACTGATAATACTATGATATAGATACATTCTGTACAATATATTAGTTATATATTATCCGTTTGAAGTATTTGAAGGAATAGCTTGACATTTTGGGAATATGAACATTTGCATTCTTGCAGAGTTGGATGGGTCATTTAGATGAGACACAATAACAATATCAATGTGTTCAAAAGCAAATAACCTTCAGTGAGAGTCACACCAAAATCTAATCTGTACATGGTTCAGCGTGTTACAAATGAATGAATAATACAAATTGAAGATATTATCTCGTCCTTCATTGAGAGATAAACAGTAGAAATCTGCACTTCACTCTTCACACTATTACACCAGCACTGTCTGGCTGATGCCGTGTCTGTCCGGATTAGGTCACATTTCATTGCAGCAAAAACTGAGCCAGGTTGAACCCAGAGAGAAAACTCCCCCTGCATCAGTCCCCATTAGAACCAATGAGAGGGCTGTTTCTTTTGGAGAGCTATTATAAGTCTGAATTAGAGGTGGACTTTTTCTTGGTAGAGACATTCTACCTGTATCTCCCTGCTCCTCGTCTATATGCTAAGCTAACCACCTGGTAAACAATATGTAGAAGATGAGAGTGGTGTGAGTCTGAACATCCAAATCTCAGCAAGAAAGCACAGACATATATTTCCCATAATGATGAGCCCTTTACATTAGGTTTGAGGGAGTATAGATTGGTAGGTTCAGTTAATGCACCAGTTATATTTTACAAACTGGTATTTACGTTTCAAATCCTCTGCAAACATGTCCTTGGATGTATTACGGAGAATAGATTACAGCGTGTGTTGCACCTAACCCCCCTGCCTTCCATCTGCAGCTGGTTGAGAGATAACATAGAAACAGC